AATATAAACTTAATTAAGTTTTTTAAGTTTCCTTAATAACTTAATTAAGTCTTAAAAACTTAAAAATATTGAAAAAATATTTTAAGTCCCATCTCTACTTATACAGGATAATAAATGCGCTGATTGTAATACCTACGCTGAAGTAAAAGCAAGAGTACATTTGGCAAAACAACTTCAAGTGAAAAATATTCTAGAAGAAAATAATATTTCATACAAAGCATATGACTCCATTATGGGCAACCAGGGATACTCAAAAAAGCGCTCAGACTTTGTTATCGATGTAAGTACACATAAAGTTGTTCTGGAAGTTGACGAGTATCAATACAAGAAAGGAGAATATAACTGTGAAGTAAAAAAATGTAAGACATTGCGCAAGCACTTGGTATCCCTACTCTGTTTATTCGCTACAATCCTGATAGTTATATGACTTCAGATGAAATTCCATATAATAGTAATAATAAAGAAAGAACACACAATTTATTGTCATGCATACGGGATGCGACACATTCACAGCCTGCTAGAGAATTGCAGTTTCTTCAGGCTACTTACTTATTCTATAACGGATACGATAAGTCTAATATTGAGATAACAACTGTGTCAGATGTTTGGTTCAGAAAACAATGAATGTCTCTTTATTAGTAATACATTAAAAATAAATTACAGCTATACTGAAATTGTTTTTTTTTTGAGCGATACAAATTTATTTGAGATATTTTTGAACCTTAGCTTTCTTTTTCGTTAGCTCTTTCTTGACATCCACCTTATCTTTCAATAATCCAACAATAATCTCCATCACCCGCTTAACACTTTTGTGTAATTCAGCTTTATTTTCTTTCTTAGCAATAGCCTTTGTGAGACTAATGTGATATTCGACTTCACTCATACATAAGATACCATCTGAGGTATAAAGGAGAAAGTACTAATCCGTGGCTGTGGTGATGATTCCATACAGATAGTTGTAGTCTTCCCCGAATGTATCATCAGCCTTTCATTTTCTCTTGTTAGTTTGGTAGGCACTTTCACATTGTATAACATTCTACAAGGTAAGAAAAAAAACTCATTAATAGAGCTCAAGCTGAGATATAATACTACACCAAGACCATGTTAACTACCTAAGCGAAGCTAATAGCGATTTAATGTTATTTTTCTCTGTTATGGCAATCAATTCTTCAATGCATTTAATAGCATAATCGACACGACCACCACTTTCTTCGCCAATGACTTCTAATTGCAGATTTAAGGAGATTTCTTTTTCAGTGAGTTTTTTGACTATACGAATACATGCATAAAGGATAGTTGAAATATATTCACAACGAACAGCTTCATTGCTGTCGGCAACTGTCCCATATTATTTATTCTAATATGTATATTATTAATACAATGATAAAGAGCCTCGTCTTCGTCCTTGATAATATGAGTTTCTATATACAAAAGCAGAATCAGTTATATGAAATGTACACACACAATAAAGAAATGACATACAAAAACTTACTTAGTGTAAATTGTAGAATGGTCGTTATTCAACTATCTTCAATACTATATTTCGCTAACATTTTACTCAAACTGCGATATGACGAGAATGCACGCTTCAGCTTTTCTTTAAGGATCTTGGCCTCTTTTGCAAATTTCATAACTGGTCTCATTTCCAACCCAGCTTGCATGAAATCATCCTTAGTCATATCAAGAAAGACTTGGCCATCGATTTCTCTGTTACAGAGAATGTCATAATATTTTTTATTATCAAGCTTGAGGTTTTGTTCTTTCAAAAATCAATAAGGGTTTCCATATTCCAGTCTTCAACCAAGTAATAATTGTGTTCAGCTGTTGAAATAGACATAGCGTTACATTTTTATAGGGATATTAGGTTCAGACAAAAATAGTGTTATATTCCAGAGTGAGATAAAATTTTATTTCTATTCAGAAAAGAGAATACTGGGTATTAATATAGACTTTTATGTTGCACAGTCATTGTATCATTACACATGACCCGCTTCTCATATATGTTCGATAAAATAATACTTTATTTATGAAATAAAATAGTTGCCAGTAGCCAGCCTACAATACATAAAAATTGGCCGTTAAGGCACTTTGCATGACTATATCACTACATGATACTAAAATTATGTAGAATATACAGTGACATGAAAGCGGTTCGCTTAGGGTAGAGATTGATTATTAAAAAAAATGGAAATAAAAGCTTGAGAGTCCATTGGCCTTTCATTAACTGTTCTGAAATGGATCTCTCAAATTGTTAGATAAAGATTATCAAATGATGCCCTCAACTATCTTCGAATTGCATTTTCAAGTCTGCTAATTCTTTGACTTGTGTTTGGAAGATTGAAGAGATTCCCTATAGGAACGATGAGTGATATCAATATCATTGTTATTATTATTATTATTATCGGTCATTATGTAGTGAGTTTCCTAAATTCAAGAGCCTATAGTGAGTATTTTTACATTACACTTCACTCTTATACATACATAACTGGTCCTAGAGGGACCCCTTCTAGCATATACATACCTTAATTTTTTATGGAAAAGTTGGCTAAACTTCCATATACCACTACATACTTTATATTTTATTATTAGGAAGGAAATAGCTATGGAGATACAAGATGCAATTAGTATTATTGTCTGATACCAAGAGCTTCATAAAAGCACATGCAAATGGATTTTTCATATCTTTTCACATGTAGATCTACCCTGCAAGACATATAGTTGGTATTATGCCTAGTGATCTCAAAATTGTGAAGTCCTCAGCCCTTCATAACATATGCTTTTAACGTTATTATTTACTTTTACAGTAGGACCTGTGTTGCAACTAGACTTCCTTTTACATTTTTCTTATGTTTGTTTGGGAAAAAATAAAGAACAAAGGTTAGTATGTTTTCTATTTCGAATATATATGCAAAAATGAATATGTCGCATAGACCTATTATGTGATCAGCCTATTTTTATTACACAATTTGTGGCTCAGCAAAATTTTCTGAGCTGATGATCACTGCTCTGGACTGATTAGTGTTGTTAATCTAGTATGAAAATTATTATCGCTAAATGTTTTGAAAAATGATGAAACTCAAAAAAATATTCAAGCCGATTAACGATACTAGGACTGATATTATCTAAATTTACCTAAATGTAAGACAGTTTACGGTTATCATCCATTTTTCTCCTTCGGTCGAGAATCTTATATGTACTGATTAGGACTTATAAATAGCAAATCTTTGTTATTGTGATATAAAGTCTAAGCATGCTTGCAAGAGTAGTTTAGATATTATACCTTTTTCTACTTAAATAAGTATTATTACCAATACATCAAGAGGGAAATCTGGTGAAAAAGTATACTCAAAATCCATTAAAGCAAAATGCTTATTTTTTGGCTTTAATCCTTTAATGAATACTTCTTTAAGATGATTTTTACAGAGTTTAATAACATCATTACATCTCTTTATCTTTGAATAATAATCTGCTATTGAGACTTCACCTTGAAGCAATGATCTACACCAGAACTTTTCTACCTCATTTGCATTATTTCCTATCTTGATCTCATCTGTATCTATACCATCTGACCATATTTCCTCTCGAAGTTTCTCAGCACTATATGGCAATTCTATTAGGCTCAAAATTTGTGGAAGATAAAAAGCATCAGATTGTGTAAATGTATGGAGTATTGATGCTGGATTTCTTACGCTGGGCAGACTATATACAAATTTCTTAAGTATTTTTTCTCTTCAATGCCTGATTGCCTTTGTCTTCCAATAGATTTTGATTTCGCAAAAAAGATCTTCCCAGTCTTACCACTCTAGTATGAATTTAGGATTCCCTTTATTATTCTATTCATATCTCGATCTATATTCTTTGATAAATTCATTATAACCTTCATCTGTCTCGTCATCTGACATTTTGCTAATAAATCAATTATACTTAATAAAAAAATAAGTACTGGTTAGCATGCATAGCTTCTTTTTTGTATATGCGAAAATTAATATGTCGCACAAGACCTGACTGATGATCTACTTATTTTTTCTATCATACAATCTGTGGCTCAGCAAAAATTCTTCTGAGCTGAAGATTACCGCTTTGGTTGATGATCAGTATTTCAGACACAAAATTGAATATATATTAACTAGAGATAAACGCAATCATGATAAGAAATACTAATAATAATTCTGATCAAGTCGATGATGAGCTACATGAAGAGCTTTTATATAAAATGCTTTTGTATAAAAAGAAAGATATAATAGCTATTCAGAAAAAGCTCAGTATACTTTCAGACTGGAAGAAGGGACCTATTGAGAATACATATCAAACAGCATTAAATCAAAGCAAAAAAGGAAAAACACTTGAAGATTCGTTTGGGCTATTATTTGATTTGATAGGAGAATTAATAAATATATGAGGAGATCTTGTGTAGCTGACCACCCTATTCTTACTATATTATATGAAAATATATAAGAATTTGATGACGTAACATTTGGGAAAATATCACTTGGGATATTATATTATTTGCTTTTATATTTGGAAGAGATATAAGCGCGATTCAAGATCATCTTAGTATTAATGGTCATTCTGATCAGAAAATAAGTGGATTAGAAGAAGCCAATAAAAATGCAAGAGCGTATCTTCAGCGAAGTACTTACAGGTAAACTTCTGATGATTTCTTTTTTGGGTATTAACACACCTGGATCATTTTCTGCCGAAGGCAAAGTCCAGAGGGAATAAAAATGTTTTATTTTTCTGAATGATGATCCACTTATTTTTTGTCACACAATCTGGCTGAAAGCGGTATACATGGCTCAGCAAAAAATCTTCTGAGCTAAAGATCACTACGTCAGGATGATGATCAGTATTCTAGACTTGGCGCTTTACTAAATTTTTCACATATTGATGATGGATCTAGCAAAATTTGCTGAAGGTGCGTTGCTAGTAGCTATACATATTGATAATATCAGATATTTTATCATTTTCTATAGACTCCGATTCTGGTTCTGAGTTGTACTCATCTTCAGAATCAGAGTCTTCTGATTCTGTATCGCCTATAGCATAATTCTTTCTCGCATTATGACGGACGATCTTATGCCTCAATGCAATTCTGTTAAGCTGGTCAAGATTCTGGTGAGTTGCGTTTGGACTACCGTGAACTTTGTAATCATGCTTACCTCCTATTTTTCTTAATATTTTAGATGTAATTTTATGAGGCTTCAAAAACTTGCTAAATGCTCTAGTATTACGCTTTTCATTTTTACTAAAGGTGAGATCACTCAACTTTTCAGCCTTTATAGCCTCTTGAATCTAGATAAGCAATATTCTTGCACGTTCTAGATCTTTCTCCATGGAAAGGAATGGGCGAGATTCTGGATTATCCTTATTTTTTCCTTTATTTTTAGCATATCCAATATAATACCAAGAATAACCATTTTTATACCATGTCAGAGGATTAGATAGGTCAACTTCGTAGTGATTAATCTGAAGGCTAGATACTTCAGCCAGCCTCATATATAATATCACTATTACATCTGCAAGATCTTGCATAAAGGGATCTTTGGTAGTATCGATGTTCTGAATCCTTTTAAGCTCCTTTTTTAAGGAGAAATGTGGTCAATTTTTTAACCGATTATTGATTA